TAATATCTGAAGTGTAGAAGATAGTATAAACCGAACATCCAGCAACCCATGAGGAGAGGAAAGAAGAAAACATCCTCAATTCCGTTAATTTCTACCGGTCAGAATGCCTATATATACCACTGAAAGCGTGGGAATAACTAACACTCACGGCAGTGAGAAATTAATTAAAAAAGCACCGCCAGTAAAGCAATACAAAATATCACTCATCAATCCCACCCCATTCCACATCCTCATCCTCATCCTCCTCCCGTTTCTTCTCTCTAACTCCCCACTTCACCAACCTCTCATCATCCAAAACATCCCCAGCCCGCTTCCTAATCATTTTCGAAATACTCTTTTCCTTCAATCTAACAATCGGACGAAGAAGTAGTTCCATCGGCACCCCCTCTTTTAGCTGTTTCTTCTTTTCCTTATTTGCCTTCGCCGTTGATGTCGTATCCTGCGCATCTCCCTTCCCTCCATTTCCATTATTCTCATTACCACCCCCAATCAGCGGATCCTCAGCCTCAACCTCAACGACAGCAACTTTCTCAATCTCATCCAGCCAAATATCCAACAAATGATACCGCAAGCCGTCGGGTCCTTTATGCATTTGCACAGTCGGATCTTCTGTAGCATCGTTACTATCAGGATCGAAATTAACTCGGCTCAGCGGGCCTTCTTCTAGCATGTCGAGGTATATTCCTAACTCCTTCCAGGGTCCCAATACCGCCTCAGATTCAGTCTCATTTACCCTTTTATCTTCATCAGTTCCTTCGCCCCTTTTCCTCTTCCTTAATCCCCCCCTCTCCTTACTCTTAACCTTGCCCTCACTATTCCCCTTTTCTTTCTGCTCTTTTTCCTCCCTCCCCGCCACCCCCACCAATCTCTTTGTCAAGAAAATCTCAAATGCAACCCCAACGTAGCACCGTATTAAATAGAGATATTTATCTAGCCGCAGTCGGTCCAGAGAGTGAAAGTCGCGCGACATTGTTATCCAGAATGCGCGGAGGAAGGGTTGGAGAGTTTGCTCGGGGAGAGAGTGGACCAAGGTGAAGGAGAGGGAACGGGCAAGGGATTGCTGGGTTAGAGGGCGGTCGGAGTGGTAGAAACCTGTTTTGAATTCATTATATGGTAAGTAAATGGGATTTAGCGGTTGTGGATGAAGCAGAGTTAGAAGGTGAAAATAAGGGAAATCAAGAAACAGATTCCTGCATACAAAAAAAAAGCCCCTTCCATATCTTCAATAACTCAACGAGTTGTAGATCTCTCCGGCTGCGGATGAAGAGGGTTAGGGATTCCAGTGCTTTGTCGCGGACCCGTTTATCTGCAAAGCGGAGAAGGGGATGTTAGGACCTCTAATTTTTTGTTTCGCAAAATACAGTCAACATCAAAAATAATATATATAGCTTGTCATAACATACCGCTGGAAGCTAACTCCCGTATGAAAGAGGTGTTCTGCATGTTCTCCATCTTCACTAGAAGCTGCACCATCCCACTCACTCAATCTACTCAACGCGACGTATAGAGAAGAATATTTAGACCAAAGGAGATCGAGAAACAACTTTGCCCTTACGCACAATCGATTAAATTAAAAAATTATGCAGCATCTTCCTTATAACTGGCGGAGAAAGTCGCAAAATCTATTACGGACGCACAGTAGTATCTTTTTGTAGGGCCCCACCGCTTCAATTAGGGGCTAATTAAAAGTAGATTGAATTAATTATCAATTGAAACAAGAGATCCTTCATTAACTTCTTGTTGACGATATTTTTTGGGAGTGAAAGTCATCTGTTTGTTTTGTTTGCACCGACATTTGGAGTTTGTTGTTACGGTCTGCCGTTCATAGTAACCTCATTGCTAAGTCACACACATGCATTCCTTGAAGAAAAAAGACTTGAGAAGTGATCCTATAAAGTAACACTCTTGATATCATTATGATACACCTCAAGAAGACCGAAAAGGGAAGAGGAGCAAATTAGGGGAAAGTAAAAGAAACAACCTTCTTAAGGTCTCACTGGGATTCGAACCCAGGTTACCGGAATTTCTGATATAAGATGTCAAAATCCGGTGTCATAACCACTAGACCATGAAACCGTCGGAACAGTTGAAAGAGGCGAGCTACGTCTAATTAAGTAGGGCAAAAACAGACTAAAGTCCCACTCTCAAAACCCCTTATGAATGCATCAGAAATTGATGGAGAAAATCGAAAGATGATATCTTAACCTTAGTTATCCATTTTCTTGTGCTTAACGTAGCTTCGGGACCCTCTTGCCACTCACCCTTCCGTAAATTCCCTTGGCATTCTTGCGCATTTAAGCTGTGAATTCTTTCGACGAAAAGTCTCTATGTCTCATTCTTCCATAAGGGGGAAAGGGTAGAACCAAGAAAATGGCTACGAATAAGTAAAAGGTAATTAAGAGACAAATGCAACAGGTCCAAAACGTGATTCATTCATAAATGCCGACCTAACTGGCTAACTATTTATTAAGATGTAAGAAAAGCCAATTCATATATATTACAGATAATAGTATATAGCACATGTGGTTCTTATAAGCAAAATAGAATCGACGGAAGGCGACCAGGAAAATAACAATGAAGATGTTGCGCCGCAATCAATACCGGGATGATGCAAAGGAGAAGAAAAATGTGGTGACTTTGCAATAGTTCTAGGGTAAGGGAGGAGAGGAAGAGAGTTGAGAATCAATATACGGCGGAAATGGGAAATGTATAATACCTGGATGATGAAAGGCATCTTATGACATTGGAGAAATAAAACCGAATGAATAGCCATGAGAGAGATCTTCAAAATGTAACGAGGGTATTGTGCAAGGCTAAAATTGAACAAAATTATAGAGAAGGAATGGTAGGGAAATAAAGTAAGGCACGAAAGGGATTATATGGTTAGCCGTTATTATACGTGGACTTTGATGAAAATCAATATGGCCATATCGGATTGGGGGATGGTGGACGAACATATTAACATCATGGAATTAGCAGCTGTAATATCTTGGAATCTGGAATGCCGTTCAAATGTAGGGGATTGTGAAGGAATAAAACGAACAGAAATTCACCAGTCGATAATCAGAGATGGAGAATGGATTCCGGCAAATGAACTCCGCTGTTAAATGAAACTCCAGTGCTTCGTGCTGAGACCAAAGAAAAATAAATCCAAGGAAAATCTCGTCAGAAAATGAACGGTAAAAGGTGGCTAAAATATCCGTCCTGCTCTTGGATCAGGAGTTGTAAGGTGACGTATATTTCGTAAGTGGAGGCGCCCTGGCCTTTGTTGAATCTACTGCCGAGGCGGCGAGGTCAATTCCGCTGGCTCATGACGACCAGAGCATTCAAGACATTGCCTTCATGCCATCCTTGACTCAATAGGTTCTCTTGTTCCTTCAGCATTTTGCCGAGATATGCTATTCGGACCTGGTGCTTGCTACCAATCTGTGTAAACGGAAAAACAGTCAGTATAAGTTGCGAAAGAAACATGTAAACGACCTGGTATACAAAAATACCAAGGAATTCCAGAGAGAATCATCTCGCATAGCAAATACAACACATACCCCGGCCTCAGTTTGGATCTTGCGCGCCAAAGCACCCACAGTCTGATTATTCCCAATCATAAGCACCAAATCAGGACCTCCCCTATCACTTAATCTCGCAGTAACTTTTATAAGGTCTCTTTCATTCACTTTCCCTTTTTCCTCCCGCCGCCTCTCAATATCATCTATTAATTCATCATCCGAATCGACATCGACCGCGAGTTTATTATGTCCCACATCATCCTCATCGCCAAGATCCGCAGTGGCAGCACATATCGTATTATTGTCATTCGCGTCTACAGACTCTACAACATTAATCGGGTCCATGGCGATATGTTCCGGAAGCCTGTATAAAACTCCGCTTTCATCGTAACATCCATCGCAAATGTCGCCTGTCGGCACAGTAACGCCAGCCGCATCCAATATACCCTGTGCGGTATTGATATCTCCCGCGCGTATGAGAGAGCTAGCGGTTGATAGCGCAGCCCATATTTCAGGCCTTCCGGACACTCGGGTGTCGAAAAATAGCTCTCGTTCACGATTAAGTTGTTCCCGAGTCCATTCTCGGCGAGTGCTTCGCCATGTATGTGGGTGTATGGCTTGGTTATAATGTACATCGAGAGGAACGCCAGCTAGGGCTCGACGATGGCGAGCTGATCGCGAGGTTGTAGAGCGGTGGAGGTAACTCTGGGAAGCATCGTCTGCGGGGCGATTGGGGATGGGCTGTGTAGGGCTGGCGGGAGGGATTGAGGGGTTAGACTCTCCTGTCAATAGGTTAATATGGCATATCCGATGTGTATCTGCAGCGGGAAGGTTCTAACCTCGAGAGGAAGAGGATATACAACAGCCCTTTTACCCAAAAATAAAGACAGACATCGAAAGTTAGCCACGGACATAGTAAACGAACAAAGAGGATGAGATATGTGACCCAGCTCCACACAGGTAGTAGAAAATTGAGCAAGCAAACTCATAATTAAGTAATATTATATAAAGATATACGACTGTTTGAGCAGGCATTTTGCACCAGGAGAAATACCCAACTCCAAGCCGCTGGGGACAGGATGTCTATCCCAGAAGCAGTGTCTAGTGAGGCTGGAAGACAGCTGTGGGGCCCTTAGATGTACTTACCATTGTGCATGATGCACGGTTATAGCTATATATAGGCTGCCAGCCAATATGCCCACGGGACCAAAAGTCTGCAACAAAATAAGGGCAAGCTGAGAAAACAAAGACAATCGGGAGAGTAGCGGAGAGCGGGCTGGGTGGGGAGGTTGGGTTGGGTGGGAGTTGGAGAGGATTACGGAGATGGTGAAAGCGGAGTGGCTCGGTGAGGTAGATAGGGAGTTGGTCTAATAGTCATTTAATAGGCGGGTACTTAGTTGGCTAGGGCCAGGGTTATTTAGTGGTTGAGGGTCGTCTCCATGGTACTGTTAGAAATATTCATCCATTGGGGTCCACGGGATGCTCACGGTTACCATGGGTGGACTTATGGCTGACGCGGCGCGGGGACAATTGTTATTTCCAGCCGCGGCTGATTTAGTTAATTGGGCGAAACATCCCAACGGCAATGAATTTGGAGTTGTGATGTTGGTTCTTGAGGAGAGTCCCGTTGCTGATCAGATTCCTCGATCATTGTTCAAGGGTAGGGCTAGACAGGCTTCAGTGTCGCCGACTCGCAATAGCCCTGCTAGCAATCATATGCCTGCAATCATGTCAAGTGGGGGAGAAGCTTTCCAAGCTTTCCAAGCATTCCACCAGCGCCTCTCGACTGGATCAAGGCAACGTGGATTATAATGTCACATACGAGTTTTCCAAGTTGGCAACTGCTTTGTTCTTAATCGTTGGGATCTTTTGATGAAGAAAAAATAACGGAAATTATCGGATGCTGATGATCGTGGCTGCTATCAGGAAGTGTGAAGAGCAATTGAAATAGAATATATTTTTTGTCAGGGTTTTTTTTTTTTTTTTGGTGGGGGATTTTTGACTTCAACACATCTCTGACTTGGTGCAAAATATCTGTATTCTCTCATATATCACAATGAGCTTGGAATTAATAATAATAGTCATAATAATAATGTAATATATCATTGAGCGAGCAGCTACATCAAAATATCTTTTAAGTTTTTAACTTATTCACCTCAAGATATAATTATATTATCAATTAATAATGAAAAAAAAAATAAATTAAAAATAAAAAAAAAAAAAATTAAAAAACTTTATAGAAATAGAAAGAATATTGAAACTTATAATATTTATTATTAAAAAATAAGAAATATTTTAATTTCTAAAGCACTCTATCTTTTTAATATGTTAGACTTTATATTAAATTATAGATTAAATAGCTAATTTTTCAAAATAAATTTGCATACCAATTTATATGATTAAAAATTAATAATTTAATAAAATATAAATTTAAGTAAAATAATCATTATTTTTTTAATTAATATTTATTAAAATATTATTATTATAACTAATTAAATAAAACTTTTATATAAAATTAAAAATTGAAAATAATTAATTAAAAATATTTTTCATATATTATTATTTTTATTTTTACAGTTTATAAATAGCGGTTTTATACCTTTAGGTATATATATATATATATAATTTTAAAGTATTTAGTTAACCTAACTTTATAAGTAAAATTTCAGCAATCAAGTTTTTTATCATATGTATAAGCTTCATCACAGTGCAGCAATAGTAATACACTTGAGCATATAAAAAAAAAATGTTTTGAATCTAATGTGCTTTAATTTAGTTGAATTCATTGTTGTTAAGCTGAGATATTTCAGGTTGAATTCTACAAAGTTAAGATATTTTGGTTTTGCTACTCGCTTGGTGGAGAGTTACATTATATCCAACTAGCTAATGATGATATTTAGTACAAATCCAACCCAGTCAAAAGGTCCTGTAATGATCACAGAAACTAGGGCGAGTTGCAATGTTGAAAATATCCATTATATCCAACCAGGCAATCTAACCTGCCCCTTAGATGACTAGCCCCTGGCCCGCACGGTGTGGACCTCAGGACCCATTGAAAGCTCCAAACCGTTCAGCAGCTCGTAGATACCTAGATCCATGCATAGCTATAAGCAACCTTTAGCTCCTGAATCCTTCGGGGAATAAAAGCAGTAATCAGAAATAATATTTACAGGCTAAAGAATGTATTATGTCCAATATAGTCCCAAACAAGCTCGGAGGAATATAAACTTAAAAGCCACAAATGCCAAAGTGCTTTCTCCCCAAGGTATTTCTTCAACTTCTCCCCGATAAAAGAATTAGGAGCAGGCTGCACGTCTTCATCCGTAAACACATAAAGCTTCTTAGGTAGGGTGAGCACGCCCATCAATAAAGTTGTTCTCAATCAACTATATCCGCATCGGCATCTTCATCCTCGCCATTGTCGCTGCCAAATATCGCCTTGAACACAGCATCGCCAGGCCTCTCCGCTTCCAGAGCTTCATTTCTCTCGGGATCAACAACTACTTCCTTTCTTTCCGATGGACTCTGCTCAACCGCCTGCTGCCACTGCCCATCTCCAGCTATTAACCCTGTCCCTGCATTCGCATCCGTACCCGTGCCCGCGCCGACTGCCCCTTCCACCCCTTTAGCCGCATCCACAAGGATCCGACTCACCGCTTCTTTAGATAAGATATCCAACTTAGACCCAGACGATGAAGCGGGCGTCCGACCCGCACCTCCGCCAGGTAAGTCCGCCGCATCAAAAAAGATGTTCGCTGGAGGCCTGACATTGAATCGTTTACAAAGCAGTCGAAAGGGAGCGAAAGGCAGCGACGATCGCGTCAGAGGTCCGTACATGCCCATCTTAGCAGCTTCTTCAGCAGGGTCTTTCGGTTTCGGATCAGGTCTGCGCAGGAGACGTCCCTGTTGCGACTCTGCCGATGCCGTTGTCTGATGCAGTAGTGACTGCGGATGCGGCTGGGTGCCGGTAGAGGATGTGAAGCGAGACGCCATCAACCCCGATATGGGCTTGAAGACTTGCGCGGCACGCGCGAATTCATTCAGCTCTGCGATCCAGTTATCTGTTGTTGCGTCCGAGGCGCGATCGGGGAGTTTATTGCGGAGGCCGGCGCGGACTTCGAGGAATGAGCGGTAACGAGATCGCTTCGCTTCGTCTTCTGCGTAGGGCATCCAGCCACTTATCCCGCGTTCGAGGGCTTGTTTCGCGACGTCTTTGTCGAGTTTGGGCACGAGGTTCCATAGGTCTTTCTGCTTTTGCGCTTCTGTTGGTTCGGAACCTTCCGGTCCCTTCTCTCCCAGGGCGGGAGGTAGATCTGTTCGTCCAGTGGCTTTGGCGATCTTTTCGCGGCCCGCTGGGGTCATGTAGTCGAATATTGATTTGCCTGGTAGCTGGGCTTCGCCCAGCAGTGCAGCTCTGGACGCCGGGTCAAGTGATGACTTTGCGGCTTCAGCGTTTGAAATATAATTGGGGACAGGAGCCTTTTGAGATGGGATTTTTGTGGATTTCCAATTTTTCGGAATCTCTGGAGGCGCATATTTCTTTTCCCGTGACGAGATGGTTAACCCTGCAATTTCCACTCCATGAAGGAATCCGTCCAGGGGCAGACGACCATCATGGCATTTCCTAAATCCCGTTTTTGTCTTCTCAGCTGACGCTCTTTTCTTCGAGATGAACACAGGTTTGGTGCCCAGGAGTGGATTAGAGAGCCCTATCGACGGCCTGGGTGCTGTTGTGATATTGTTGGACCCTTTCTTTGCCTTCTTGTCATAGTCGATGAATCGATTATAGGAAATTTGCGGTCCCATCTCGTAGGGGTCCTCATCGTCGGAGCCAGTATCGTTTAGAATGCCAACCCCGAATCCCCCCTTTTTAGACTGTTTTCGCTTATGAGATGTGTTCCCATTCATGGAAAGTTTTGGTTCGCCTGGAGCATCAGAATCTTCCCCTTCACCCAAATATATGCGCTTGGTAGTTCCCGTTTCCGGTCTCGTAAGCGAGTCAAGTCGAGCCTTGCCTTCGAATCCAAGCCCTTTATAGTCATTTTTCTTCATAAATGTTATCATAGGAGGATTTGCCGGCGCAAAAAGGTGGGTTGTACCCTCCACACCATCGCCGTCGTCAAGGTTTGCTTTGCGCTGCACTTTCGGGCCGATTCCTTGCCCCTCTTTCCAACCCATTCTTTTCAACAGTTTGACTCCCATTGTTTCACCAGCAGTCTTGAAAAGATCCATTAAACCACCCAGCCGCGTCGCATCAGTAGCTGTCGAACCGAAACCGGCATAGTCACCAGCTGTCTGAAGTTTTCTCGATTCTTCCGCTTCGCGCAGATCCTCCTCGTCCATAAAATCCTCCGGCCTCTGTTGTTGTGCTGACTGCTTCGCATCCTTTGCGCGATTGCGACGGGAGGAAACGAAGGTCGACGGCGTCCATCCTTCTTTCGAGCCGACTGTATTAAAATACCTATATAACACAAAAATTTAGCAGTCCGGTTCCAGCTCGCAGTTAATCGTGAGCTCACCCAGCACTGAAACCACCGGTGAAGGCGCCATGAAGACGTTTCCTGCCCCGGTCATCCCTCACTTCCTGTTTCCACACAGGAACATAGGAACCATCATCGCGGGCCTCAGGGTCAAATGGTGGCAGTGGAGTACCATAAACAGCGTATGGAGAGTGAAGACTCTCATCCTCAAAGGTAGCTCTAGATCTTTTAGTAGCCATGTTTGTAGCGATACTTTTCTTCGCGTATTCAATGGTTCTCTCGTTGAAAAATAAAAACAGTGTTTCTCGGACCTCTCTTATGAGGCTTCACCGACTTGTGGGGCCATGCACCAATCAGCTTGGCCGTTATTTGCAATAGCTTGTGAACAAATCAGTACAAGGTCCCGAGGTCTCCTAAGCCAATTTGAGGGAGAAACGCAGCCCAGGGTAGATGTGTGAGTGACCTGGCAGGCATTTGCTCAAGACAGAGCAGATGATGATTCAGCGGCCACTGGGATCCAATGCCTCGTGAGCACAACATCCCATACAGGTTGACGAGACAGACCTGAACAAATGATGCACTGGACGGACACAAGGAATATTTCGGAGGTTTGAAACCAGGGAGCAGCTGACTCAGCCAGCCACAGCACAACCGCCACAGAAAATGGGCTCTGGGCACCTGACTAATCCATTGAGCGAGCCCAAAAAGGCAAACCCACGTGGACAAAGGGATTTTGGCGAGGACAGCGACCCAACACTTTCAACCATCTGTTCATATCATTATTATTAGCATGCGGTATGTTCCTGTGGGCAGCAATAAAGTCCCAAGAAAAACATCTTCAGCCCCATTTCCCATCTCTTGACAGCAGCATTCGTCATTCTTCTCTTTGTTTGTAGTTGTTGTTGTCCGTCAACATTGCCGTCACGGTCTTACTGTGAGTACTTCGGGCTGCCATAAATAAAGGCCCCGAGCCAAAGCCAAGCGTCGTTTGTTCTTCCCATACAGATCTGTTTATTACGTATCTGCGGTACGGAGTGCACAATACACAATATTACAGCATCATACATTACGGAATACATCTCAGGTACGTTAGTTACTGCCAAGGTACCCGTGGGCATTTTATTCCAGGCCTTGTTTTTCTCCGTATACAGTAGTTATTTCCCTTGTTCTCACAAAGAACTTTCAAAAGAACTATCAAAGAAACTTTCCCTCAACGTCATATCAAGACACACACCCACAAAAGAGACTGATTGGGTTTGTCTATTTTGACTATTTGACCCTCAATTATGCCTTTGATATTATTTGTGGGATGTTTCATTTATTCATTTATTATATACATTATCTCCTTACCTTACACATTCACCACCCCAGCCCCATAATGATACACATCAATACCGTACAATACACGTCAATACACGTACATTACCCTTACCGCCCGCGACTGCCCGCTGCTCATCCCACTGCTGTCCCGTATCTTGCTTCAACCTCTATCACAGACTTCCCCCCAATCCTCTTCTTACACTGCCTTGAGACATTGAGCTGTCAACAATACGACTACCTGCCTTGCAAATAGAACACCTGGGCCTCGTCTACAGGCTTCTGCTAAGTCTAAGCTACAGCATTCCTCTCCCATCCATGAAGGTACAAACAGGGATACGTTCCTCAAAAGGTTGAAGTTGCCTGAGCCTCCCCTCCACTGGACGTGAATATATCCCTCAACGTAGACGATACGCGGAAAACAACCCCATTGGCAGAGGTTATTGTCGTCCACTTCATGACCTGTGTTTATTAAGGGTGAGAACTTAACTAGTTATTTTTGTCTTTTCTGGGTTCTTCTATCATACCATATCGCAATGTCCGCTGCGGCATCGGGAACTGCACCTGTTATTGTTCGCAGCCACTCCACATCACGTTCCAATTCGTCATATCGGACTACCCCCACAGACCTCCCCCACAGAGCAAGAAGCACAGCTGTTAGGCCCTCGCAGTCCACCCATTCTCACCATCGATCCAACTCCAGACCACTTTCATACGATCGTCCCTCCACGTCTAATCCAGTTAATCCAGCCGACGCTCCTCACCGGGACTACGAGACATCAAACGTTGCACGCCCACCTACATTTCGCCGAAGTTTATCCAGAGATCGTTCCAAGGACACTACACACCAATATAGGGTTAAACCTTCACACTCCCATCATAGAACATTATCTAGACCAACACAAGGTCTAGATAGTGTCGACATGGCCGGCCCTATGAACCCCGTGAACCCTGTGAATACCGCGAATCCAGTGAATCCTGGACCTGCTGTTGCCGATGACCAGTCATTTGCAAATGGGACGCATCAAAGGCCCCCCAATGGCATCTCAAACAGTGTGTCGCAGCCAAAACGACGGACAACCATCACGACAGTATCTGGACAATGGGCTCTCGGGAAAACCATTGGTGCTGGCAGCATGGGGAAGGTGAAACTTGCAAAAAACCTTGAAACAGGTGAACAGGTATGTTTTATAATTAATCGGATATAGATTCTCTTTTTCTCCATCCCTTTTCCCTCTTTTTTTTTTTTTTTTTTTTTTTTGAGTGGGTTGGGGGTTGGGGGGATGAGGAGAATATATACAATGCTAATATTATTGGCTTTTACCCTAAAGGTGGCGGTGAAGATTATACCTAGACATTCGACTGAAGAGCATCGTGGTAATCGCGATGCGGAGAGAGCAGATCGCTCTAAAGAAATACGAACAGCAAGGGAAGCAGCAATTGTAACCCTGCTAAACCACCCATATGTGTGTGGAATGCGAGATGTTGTGCGAACAAATTATCACTGGTATATGTTGTTTGAATACGTAAACGGAGGACAAATGCTCGATTACATTATCTCTCATGGAAAACTAAAAGAAAAACAAGCCCGGAAGTTCGCGAGACAAATCGCAAGCGCACTCGACTATTGCCACAAAAATAGCATTGTTCATCGGGATCTCAAAATCGAAAACATTCTGATCAGCAAGACGGGGGATATCAAAATCATTGACTTCGGCCTCAGTAATCTATATTCGCCTAAAAGCCAACTGAAAACTTTCTGTGGCAGTCTGTATTTTGCGGCGCCCGAACTTCTCCAAGCCAGACAGTATATCGGCCCGGAGGTGGATGTCTGGAGTTTTGGCATAGTCCTTTATGTTTTGGTCTGTGGGAAGGTGCCGTTTGATGACCAAAGCATGCCCCAGCTCCATGCGAAAATCAAAAAGGGTGTCGTTGAATACCCCCAAGGACTATCCTCAGGTTCGTATGTCCCATCTACAGGAATCTACCAGATCCAGCGCTAACCTTAATCAATAGATTGTCGACATATTATTTCGCGAATGCTGGTTACCGATCCAAAGCAAAGGGCCAGTTTAAATGAGATTATAAACCATCCATGGATGACAAAGGGGTTCAGTGGCTCACCTGAAAATTTTCTCCCACATCGTGAACCTCTCCAGCTTCCACTGGACCCAGATATCGTGCAAAGAATGACTGGATTTGATTTCGGCCCTCCGGAGTTTATCACTGCTCAGCTAACCAAAGTCCTCGAATCCGAGGATTACCAAAATATAGTGCGATTAAGTCAGAGGGAGCATCCCACGCCCCACCTGGCGAATAATGAAAAGAAGAGAGGTGTTTTTGATTTCTATAAGCGTCGCAACTCAGCAAGTAAAGACACGCTTTCCAGTCCGTCTGCTGAGGTCGTACATCCAGCAAATGACCTTAATGGTTATAATCCCTTGATCTCCATCTACCAACTTGTGCGTGAGAAGCGAGACAGGGAAAGACAGGAGGAATGTCTGGGTGCACTCGCCATACCCCATTCTCCTTGCGAGCCGGCACTACAAATACCAAAAATCCCTGCTCCAGAGGCTGCCCATACGAACCAAAACGCTTATGAAATTCCGGGTGACAAGGAAACTGGTGGACGATCACGGCCTAGAGCACGAACTCATGGCGACGATGAGGTGAGGGATGGAATAAAGAATATCCATCTGGGGCCAGCGGCTGCGGCGGCATCTCCCTCTATTGTAACCCCACCAGTCGAACAAGTAAAGAAAGAAAGTGCAGCTGTTGGCTTGTTAAGACGGCTGAGCACCAGAAGAACACGGGAGAAACCGCGGGACACCGATCGTGAAAAGAGCGCAACATCCCAAGGACCCAGTTTCAGCATACAGCCGCCAGAAGAAGTTACTACTGGAAAAAGTTTTTAGTGTGAGGAGGCCTAAACATGAAATCCCCTCTCCTGCGACGCTTCACTCTGGCGGAAGCCAGCCCCAACAGCCAGATTTTCTGCGTGCACCCCGGTCTGGGGACCCACCTCCCAGGACGAAGAATGTTCTTGGGCGGTCAGCTAGTGTTAATTCCGGCGACAACAGGGTGCTCAGAAATGGGAGACGAGGATTTTTTGATGGTCTCGTTTCTCCGCTCTCACAGGATCCACCATTGACAAGTGGATCTGACCGATCTAGTTTGAATGTGCAAAAGTCGCGACAACAGCAGAGCGACCACGCAGCAACCCAAGATTCGAAATCCACTATTCGCACACAAACATTTAGAACTAAATCTCTTGGCCATGCCAGACGCGAAAGTATCCAGGCTCGGAGAGCACGCCGCGAGG